TTTTCTTTATTTGAAAAATCTACTTCCATTTCGGCTGCCGAATGGCTTTTTTTATTATTATTATCAAATTTGTAAAAGGTCTGTTTTTGATCTACAGGTGATCAAAAACCGCCTAAAAATTATGAAACGTTTTAGTCTGTTTTTTACCTTGATGCAATCAAAAACAGCCAAATGATTGTGACAAAAAAAGTCCGATTTTGGTCTAGAAACAATCGAAAAAAATTTTATTATAACATTAAAAATAGTCTCGAATTGGTCTGAATTGGGAATAGCGTAAGCTAAAACAGTTGAAATTCTTACATGAAATAGATATACATAATAAAGATAAATTGAATGAAAAATGTTAAAAATTTTCATTTATCCTAAAACAGATCAAATGTTTTGACCCGGATAGACTAAATAAACTAAACCCGGAAAAACTAAACAATTATTCAACTATCCGTATAAAAATAAAGTCGTTATTAAGTTATAATTTAGATTAGGTACGCTGTAAGTATATCAGTTAATTATAGAACAATAAAAAATCCAATAATAGTATGATAGCATTTCCGAAGCAATGCCCCGACATAATAAAATATTAATGAGCCAGATAAAAATAGTAACCACTTACGAGTAATTAACCAAACAATTGCTATAGTTACCCTGTCATAACTTCGTAAGCTTATTCTAATTGAAATCTCGTCCTGTTTCATCAGTATTTATACCAACTGATCCACTTATCTAGTTTTATTTCGATCGTATTATTTATTTGATTGTGATAAAATGCATGCGATTTTAATTTTCGATTTACTGGCAATCACTACTGTTTTCGCCTTGAAAAAAAGTGAAATTTCTTATTGTACTAACTACACAGATTTGGTATGTAAATGTTTATTATGTACCTTTCAAAATATGAGAATATTTTCAACTTCCCGCTAAGAAAATTGAAAATTTTCGAAATTGGGAAGTTATTGGTTTTACCTCGTTTTTCGAAAATCGAGTTTACCCTAGATCTCGACGTCTTGAAGTCCTAGGAAGCTTCCCTGACTATTCCCGGGGTGATGTCGGCGTGTCTGTATGTCGTGTGTGTGTGTGTGTTTTTTCCCCTTTAGGGGGGGGGGGGAATCCTTTTGCGGATTCCAGGCAGAGCTGCTTGGCCTGGATATGTGGCGACTCGACGCAGCGTCATACTAAAACTCGACGCTGACGCCCCTACCCACTAAACCCTAAACCCCTTTCCTCTTTCCTCTAATCCCTCATGGAAACCGCCGTCAGGCATTACTTCGTGAGGGGAGGATCTAGCTACTGCTCTTCCTTCTGGTGGAGTGTGTGTGTGTGTGTGTGTGTGTGTGT